CTGTAAGCGTGGCGGACGGGGCGGGAGGGCGGGAGGGCGATTACGCCATGGGTGAGACGAGTGACGCCTCCCTGCTTTACCCTCTGATCCACCCTTGTATCCCATAACGCGAGTGCGGGCTGTAATGCCAACCACCAATCGCAGCCCCAGGCGTTTCTGAGGGGGGCAGCAAGGAGCGGGGCCGCCCCTTCTGAGCTACTGCGAGGCTCCCAGGCGTGGCGGGTGTTGAGAGCAGGGCCAGGCCCCTCCCTGCCTGGGCAGCGCCATGAGCCGCAAACCATCGGCTGTGAGTGTAACCTGGACACACGTGATCATTCAGAGCACACGGCAGGGCGGTGCCTACTTCACACTGATCTCTCCGCCGTGCTGCACTCAGCCGCCGCAGCTGCTCTGCGCAGACTCTTGCGGCCTGTGCGTGCTGGTCACTGCCGGCTGCGGCCACGCGACTAGGGCTTGAGGCCCCCATGATGGCATGTGCGCATCTGCCAACTTAGTTCCTCTGTCCCTGGCAGGTGTCCCTGCCGCGCGACGCTTGACCGCGGCGCGCGCAGGATGCGCTGCTGGTCATCGCTGAGCGAGTTGAGTCGGGTGGCGACGCGGGCCCCGTTGACAGAAGGTCGCCCCAGCCGGCTCTTGGAACATTTACATTTGTTTTTTTCCTAAGCGTTTCCCGACCGTCTTATCGTAGGACGTTAGAAAGTCCAAACCTGAAACTTGCATGCAATCAGATGATGCCGGGGCGTAAAAGGGCCTCTCGTGGAGTGCAGCATAAACTCTGTGATGTATTTTGCATAGAGTAAAAACTCTGGAAGGGAACACCGGGAGTTGCCCCTTTTCGGGGGTGGGGGTCCACTGAGAGCGAGTCGGCAGCGCGGCGCGTCCCTTTTGCAACCTTGCTAGAATGACTTTCTTCCCCGAGCAGTACCAGGTTAGTTGGCAGTCCGCCTCGTACCATGGTGCCTTGGCCGGGGTGGTCCGCAAGCGGCGGCAGTGCATTTCCTTCCCGCCACGAGCTAATCAGTAGCAAAACGGGAGTCACCCTCCACCTGCATCTCCATGCGCCGTCTTCCTTCCTCATGATGTCTTACTTGCAGGCCGGCGTGGGCCCAGACGGTGTTCCTTACATGCTGCCGACCACGCTGAGCCAGGTGGCTCATGAACAGCAGCAGTTCCTGCAAATGCAGCAGCCGCCCATGCACATGCAGCAGGCCGTGCCCACCATGCAAGCGGTGCACCAGCAGCAGTACCAGCAGCAGGCTTTCATCCCTATTGGGGGCCTGCAGCAGCCGGCCATCCCCCAATATTACTACCCAACCCCCTACAGCGCCTTCCCGGGCGCTGCGCCCCTCGCCACGTTTGACGTTGTGGCCGCCGCCGCGCAGCCGCCGCCGCAGCTCGCACCCCCCGCCAACCCGCGCGGCGCCGGCGCCCGTGGCCGCCGGCAGACGCCCAGCGGCAGCGGCGGCGGCGACGGCGGCAGCCAGGCCGGCGGCAGCATGGGGTGGCCGCCGGGCGTGAGTGTGGGCGCCCTTGCAAGCAGCTCGGTCGGCTTGGGCATGCTGGGAATGGATGCCATGGGAATCCAGGGTGTGCAGGGCAGCTTCGTGGCGATGACTGTGGAGGACATCCTCGCGGTGCTGCAGGCGCTGCCTCGTGGCCGCTCCGCCGTGCAGGCGGTGGGGCACTGCCTCGGGTGCCTTGACAGCAGGTGCGGCCGCGCGCGCGCGAGCAGCTCGTGCGCGCTGCGAGGCGCGTGCTTGCATGCGGCGGGTGGGCATGTCAAGACCCATTTGGGGGTTGGCCTCACACTCTGTCCTCACCATGCCTTTGAACACGCTCACACGTTGCGCTGTCGGCTGTTGCAAATCGGTCATGTGCATGGCAGCTGGGCATTTGAACTGCCTCCACCGCCCTGCTGGGCAGGCCGCACGTTCCGGGTCCTTGTGTGCCTGTGCGGCCATTCTTGCGTGCCTGTGCGGCGGTCCTTGCATGCCTGTGTGGCCCTTTTGAAACCCCTCCTGATCCCAGCGCCAGTTTTAAATTCCTGACCCTGTGCCATGCCCCACTACCTCCTTGCACCAACATGCGCCCATGTCTCCGCGCAACCTCCACCTCTCATCCGCACAACAAACAATGCTGTGGCACACCCAGACGTGCCAAAGTGCATGCATGGGCCATCACAGAGCCATTGGCCCGTTTGTCTCCTTCCGGCCCGCTCATGGCTGTCACCCGTCGTCACCCACCATCACTCGCATCACCCACGGCACATGTGTCACCCGCAGGGCGCTGGCGGCACTGTTTAAAGAGCTGCACAAGAGCAGCCTGCAGGGGCTGGCCATAGAGCTGTTTGATTGGCTGAGAGGCATGCCGCCCGGGCAGGAGCTCACGTCGCTGCTGGACGTCTACACCTACACCACCATGATTGTGAGGGGGCGACACGGGCCGCGGGGGCTGGGATTTAAGGATTGGCCCGTTGAATAACTGCAATCATGTGCGGGCAGCTGGCGGATCGTGGCGGGCGCGGCGGATGAAGCTGGGGCCTGAGCGAGGTCAAGCAGCTCAAGGCCTGTTTGGGTGCTGAGGGTGTGAGAGACTAGTGTAGTCTGGGGCGGTTGACCCTATTTGGAAGGAACCGTAGCGGCATGGCACTCTTTTTGGAAAGTTGCGGGGGTACTTGGACCTTTGAAGTTGCCAAGGAACCAAAGAACGCGTGCTTGTGTTGAACAGATCACCATACCTGCAGCTTAACTCCGGCACACGCTCAGCAGCGCTGCCGCCCTCGTCATGCCGCCCCCGCCGCGCCCCCCGCAGGCCCAGTGCACAGGCCCGTCGCAGCTGCGGCGCGCGCTGTCCCTCGTCGCCGACATGCGCGCGCGCGGCATCGCGCTCAACACGCACACCTACTCGGCCATCCTCAACGTTTGCATCAAGGCGGGGCAGCCAGAGCTGGCCCTTGACGTTTACACCCAGGCACGCGTGCCTCGGGGCGCATGCGCTGCTCGGGGGCGCGGCACAGCCGCTCACTCTGCTTCGTTTTCAGGCGTGGTTCCCGGGGTGGGGCAGGGCCCGTCGCCGGCGGCCTGACGCGCGCTGCAGGGCCCGCGCTGCGACTGCCGGGGTGTCGGAAGTGGAAATGGTGTACTGTACAGAGTCAACGGCAGCTTTTCTTGAAATATCCAACACTGGCGCGCCGCCCGTTGTCCGGCCGTCCCCGCAGATGCTGTCTGAGGGCCTGACCCCCAACCTGGTGACCTACAACACGCTGCTCGAGGTCTATGCAAAACAAGCCAAATGGGAGCAGGCCCTCTCCACGCTCGACGCCCTGCAGCGCCAGGTGCGGCCGTCTGCCTCCCAGCACTACCCTGCCCCCCTTCCCCCTGCCGGGGCTGAGCAGCCGAGCCATTCGCACGCGGCAGGCAGCGTGCGCCTGCGGCAACCTGTGTAGCCGCCCCGCCCTCCCCCGCTGCTGTTTGTCCGAGAGCCACGCGCATGCACGCACGCACAGGCCCGGACCATGCCCACACACACCCACACACCTCGTACCCTGCGCCCCACCAAAACGAACCTCGTCTCACCCTGCGGCGCCGCGCGCCCCAGGGCCTGTCTCCCGAGACGCGCACCTACAACGTCGTCATGGCGGCCTGCAACGCGGCCGGCAAATACTCCCAGAGCCTGGCGGTTTTCTCAGCTATGCTGGCCGCGGGGCGCGCCCCATCCACCGCGTCCCTCAATTCGGCGATCACGGCGCACTGCAGGTGTGTGTGTTGGTTATCATGTTGCAGATTCGCGCGTGTCCGTGTAGGGTGTGTGTGTCTGTTTGTGTCAGTTGGTGGCACTAAAGCTGCGTGTGGGCCCCTTCGTGCCCGCACATTCTCACATGCTGACGTGCATGCGTGTGGGCTTGCATGCAAATTCTTACACCCGCAAGCCATAAGCCAGCGGAGACGCGAATCACGCGGCCTTTGTCGCAGCTGGGCCGCGGCTCGCAGCGGCTGCCCGCAGGTGCCCTCCTCAACGGTGCGCTTCCGCAACGCCGCAAAAGGAGCTGTCTCGCCGCCCTGCGCCCCTCCGGCTCCTGACCGCAGGCTGGGCAGCCTCGACGCCGCCTGGTCCATACTCCAGGAGATGGCGGGGCGCGGCTGCGAGCGCACGCCGGCGACGTACATGGCACTGCTGCACGCGGCAGAGGGCGCCGGCCGCTGGCGCATCGCGCTGGACGTGCTGGATGCTATGGCAGCCGGCGGCGTGCGGCTCACGCCGCAGGCGTACGCCGCGGCGGTCGGCGCGTGCGCGGCAGGTGAGCCGGTTCCTCGCGCGCGTCGCGCGCTCGCATCCCTCTGTTGCTTGGCAGGGCGTGGTGTCGCGTGGTGTCGGTTGGGCCGCTGCTGCTTGGTGAGCGGGTCTTCGTTGTTCAGTAGCTGGGCTGACCCTCACAACAGGCCTTAATGCGCCCCCGCCGCCCCTTCCCCTGCCCCCACAACCCTCGCAGCCGGCCAGCTGCAGGCCGCCCGCGAGCTGACCGCCAAGCTGCAGGGCGGCCCTCCCGGCCAGGCGCGCACCTGCCTGGCCGCGCCGGCCCACATGCTGGTGGTGCTCCACGACCGCTGCTGCGACTGGGGCGCTGCGTACGCCGTTTACGAGGGCCTCGCGGCGACGGGCGTGCGGCCGGACGGGCACATACTGGGGGCGCTGACGAGCGCGCTGTGGGCGGCCGGCGGCGTCGCGGGCTGCCTGCTGGCGCTGCGCGTTTTCGAAGAGGCGTGCAGGATCGGCGTGTTCAAGTGAGGAGTGGCAGCAGCCACTGTCTGTGAAGAATTGGGTTGGATCAAATAATTGGAGGCCGGAAGGTGGCTTGAAAGGCCGGCCGATTGGATGCTGATGCCACCGTGCTTGGAACGCTGCTGGGATGCATGCATCTCTGTTGGCTCCGTGCCTCAGTGCCCCCGCCCTGTCGCAGCGCGGCGAGTGCCGGCGGCCGCCTGCATTGGACCAAACCAAAAGCACGCGCACCCCCATCCCCTCGAAACCGGCTCCCAGGCTGACTGTGCGCGTCGACGAGGCGTCGAAGCACGTCGTGTTTGTGCTGCCAGCGGTGGGCCCGGGCATGGCGATGATCGCGCTGTGGCGGCTGTTCCAGGAACTGGCTTCGCGGCTTGAAAGGTGCGGTGTCCCTCTCCCCATCTTTTGCATCTCTTCCCTCCCTTCTTCGGGGCGAGGGGAGAGCCCTTTGCACCTTGCCCCCTCTCTGCCCTGTCTGTCCCCCCCCCTCCGTCGTGCACCCTCTCTGCGGCCTTTTCCGCCTCTTCGGCGCGGCCATTTGTGCTGGTCACAGCAGCATCGGTTTGCAGCACGCCGTCGGTGATGCGCACTGCGCTCAGGACATGCTTTGTTTGCACATGACTGCGGACGGCCCGCCCGCAACGCGACGCCCCGCATGCTGTGCGTGCTGTCTCTGCTTCGCAGCGACGGGCCCCACATCCTGCGCCAAAGTGTGATGCTGCTGGTGGGCCAGGACGACCGAAAGGAGGCGCGCATGACGGAGGCCATGCGCACGGTGAGGGGTGGGGGCGCTCAGCTTGCGCGCAGCGCATGCGGCTCGCGTGAAGGGTGCATGTTTCCGGTGGTGGGGTGGGTGTTTGCATCCGCAATGCGCATGCAGCGGGCATGGGGTTGCATGCGCCGGCACGGGGATCGGGAGCGGGTGTGCATGCACAAGGCCATGCAACATGCATGCGCCCTTGGGTTGTGATGTAAAGGGCTGCATGCACATGCGTACGCTCCTGCACATGCTCCTGGCCGCGCTCATGCGAGTGTGCATGTGCATGTGCATGTGTCGGGCACATGCGGAGTGCATGTGGCGTTGGAGTATGCATGTGCTTGTAAAACATCAAGTTGAGTGATTGCATGCGGTCGTGGTACTCAGTGCGGACCGGTCCCACATGCGCCTGTGCGTCATCTGACCATCGCACCCACCGCTCCTGCGCCCCCCGCCTGCGCGCCTTGCCTACCCGCGCGCGCAGCTCTGCGCCGCCCAAGGGTCGCCCTTTGTTTTGCTTGAGCCAGAGGACGCATCCTCCGCCGCAGCCGGCCACGACGCCACCGGCGGCCCCAGCGCCACCGCCGCGCGCCTGACGGCGCGCTCCGACGCGCTCGCGCGCTGGCTGCTGGCTGGCGGGCGGGGCGGCGGCGGCGGCAGCGGTGGCAGCGGCGGAGACGGCGCAGCGATGATCTCACGGCCAGAGCCGGTGCTTGTGCCCACAGACGCGCTCGATATGGTGTCCCCTCACCTGCTGATTGCGCAGCAGCAGGACGCAATCGCTGCAGCCGCCGCGGCGTACGCGCGCCTCGCCGCCGCGGACGACGCTGGGGGCGCGGCGGGTGCGGGCGCGGCCACGGCTGCGGTTGAGTTCATGGGGGCCGGCAGCGCAGGCGCAGGCGTGGGCATGGGCGCAGGCGCGAGCGCACTGCTGGGTCTGCAGGAGCGCGCCGGGTCCTCGGGGACAGCCACGAGCGTGAGCCTGACGCCTAGCACAAGCGGCGGCAGCCTGCTGGCGGGCGCCGCAGCCTCGGCCTCTGGCGGCGCCCTTGGCGCCGCCGGACCGCCGCCCAGCTCTGGCGCATCTAGCAGCGGCGCTCCCGCCGCCAGCACCGCAGCGGCGGCGGCAGCAGCGGCACTGACGGTGCTGCGCGCGGCGCTGATGGCCGGCGCCGCTGCGGCGCCGGGCGGCGCGGTGGACGAGGCGTCGGTCCTCGGCCGCGACGCCGCGGGCGTCGCTGCGCGCGCCGCTGCGCACCCGCTCGCGCGGGGGCTGCCGGCGCGGCGGATTGCAGAGCTGGCGCTCTGCGCGGCGCGGCGCGCGGCGGGGCTCTGGCCGGCGTGGCCGCGCGTGCTCGTGCCTGTCACTGGCTGCGCGGACCCCGAGCATTCGGAGGAGCCGCGCTGCCCGCCAGAGCTGCTTTCGCACCTGTCTGCGCTCGCGGCCGCCGCCGTCGAGGTCGGCGGCGCGCAGGGGTCCGCGGCCTGATCATGGGTGAAAGGCGTGCCAGCCTGGCTTGCATGCAACAAGGGCCGAGTGCTCCGACCCCACCGCGCCCCGCATCGCGGCGTGCCCGCACCCAGCGCCCGCCGCACCCCGCGTCTGGGCTCGTGCCGCTCGCGGCGGACCCGCCCGTGCGGGCCGAGTTGCTGCGCCGCATTCTTGCGAAGCCGGCGCGCCAGCCGGCCGGCCGGGCCTGATCCAGCCGCTCCCGCCTGATTCGGCTGCCCTGCGCCTGATGCAGCCGCCCCGCGCCGCCTGTGGCCGAGCAGGCTGCACTTGCCTGCGCTGCCAGCAGGCGTGCCACCAATTCAACACGCACCTTGATTTGTTCCCCCCTGCTGTGCAGCACGGTTCCGAGCTGAGCGGCCCTTCACATGCGTCTAACGCCATCACGCAAATACCCCAACGCGCCACAACTCCCGACCACCGGCCGCCCCACGCGCCGCGGCCTGTTTCGGCGGCCTCCGCCCCAGCTCAAGCCGCCCCGGCGTCGTCCTGCGGGCGGCGTTCATGAGTGCGGGTGGGGCCGCCGCCCACAAGGGGAGGGCATCCCAGCAGCCCCTGGAGGCTTCCTTGTTTCGCATCCAGCACTGCTGTCGTGCTGTCGTACCGTGAGCCGCGCCCCCTCTCGCGCCCTGCACGGCCACTAGCTGCGGTCTGCATGCCCAGTGGGCAACCGTGCGTGCCTTGGCCGAGGCGCGCGGCCGCCAGCACGGCGGCCAACACTCCTTATGATGTCGTCCGCACGTGTCTCGCTAACTCAGACGATGCAAGGGACCGCTGGCGGACCGCGTGCGGCGCGGGCCTTTCGCCGGGCTTGAACAGCGAGGCCGTGGTGCGACCTCCCTTTGCGCTGCAGCCAAGGGGATAGCGAACCTGTTTTCCACTGTGGCGAAGCCGCCTGCATCGCGCCGCGTTCCGGCTCGTGTTGTTGCGCCCACATCACTGTTTCGGTGGGCTTCTTATCATATCAGCATGGAACCTTTGCCAGCTTGCGAGCTCGCGCCGGCTAGGCTGCAACGCTGCCGCCCGCTGACTCGGCGCGCGCACGCGGCTGCGCCCACCCCCCAAGGTGCAGCGCCCGTGCTGACACAGCGCGCGCGCCTCGTGAGGGACGGCCCTAATGAGGCCTGCTCGTCAGGACTGTCTTGGTTCTGGGCCCCGCTGCTGCCCAGTGACTGCGCCCGCCCATGGATCCGCCGGACTGAGTCGGCGGGTCCCGCGCTGCCACTCGGCGTTCGCACCAAGCACTTTTGATATCGTCACTGCTACACGCCCAGCAACGCACTTCCCAAACCCCGAGCTGAGGCATATTTGGAAAGCCCCCCTTTCAGTCGCGCCGTCTCCACTGCTCACGCCAAACCAAGGGCCGACGCACGACACTATGCAGTGCTGCCAGCGCCTCCGCTTGGGGCCCGCGGCTTTTTCAGGCCTGCTGGCGGGTTGCTCGATCCCTCTCGCTGCCACCCGTGGCTGCGTGCGGCTGGAACCTGTCGGCCTGGCCGAGGCTTCGCGCCGTCGCGCGCGGAGCCCGCGTCGCCCTTTGTCGCGTTTTTGCTAGCCACCAAACCCCCCTAGGAAAATAGCCAAGCTACACTGTGCTGCGTGCTTGGGCGCTGCCGGCGTCCGTACGTGCGCCTTTTCGATCTGCTCGCCGCATCCTGCGCCAATCTGGCCATCCGCTGGTGCATCTGGGCGCGCCGCCAATGCCCGGCCACCCAGGGGCAGGGAGTCGCTCCTCGAGGCTGCCTTTCTCAGCTATTGGACGGACGGGGGTGTGTGGGTTTGTTTTAAGGGCCGATCCGCTAGGCCAAGCAGCATTGCGCCTCCCAAGCTTTGACGGACGCCCGCGCCGGCCCAGGCTCAGGGTGCGCAAGAAACCGGGGATGTCAACCCTGCATGCTGTGAGCCTCGCCCTGCTGCTCACCCGATCTGTGGGCGCCGGACAGACCAGGACCCCCCCCTGCGCGCACCCATTCGCCAGCGGGGGGTCGTGCGCGGTGAAGCACTAACAATCGCGCCAGGATCCGAATTTTCACACGCACTCCTGCGGCCGATCTCCCCGCACCCCTGCTCAAGTGTCTTTTTCGCAGTTGGGAGGCAGCGCCAGCACGCCAGTGCTGGCCCCTCTCCACCCCTGAAACGCAATTCCCGCGGCTGGACGCCGCCCACGTGGGCGCCTCAGGCCTCGGACACTTGCTGTGTGTTGGCATACCTGCCCCCAGGGGCGACGAATGGTGGCTGCAACACTCGCTCCGTCGCACGCGCAGCAGGGGCTGTCATTTCTGCCCACGCACGGGCCCCGCTCCCAAACATGACTTTGCTTACCTACTCCGGGGAGGGGTTCCGGGGGTTGCTAACAACCAGGATGATGCACAAGTCTGATTGAGGTGGCGGGCCCTCTTACGGGAGTTTTTTTGGGGCTCGTCGTTTGCCCGCACCGCCTGGTGCCTCTGCCCACACGCATCTGCCTCGTTGGAGCGGTGGCGCGCCGGCCCAAGTGAGGGGCAGGGTGAGGGGCGGGGCACAGTCAAGTCGCGGGGCCTGCTGTTTTCTCCGCTGGTTGGTGGATGGGGAGTCGAGGCCTTTCTCAACCGCTCCCTGGCTCCCTGGAAGGCGTGGTAAACGGTCATGTGCTGGCGCCATCCGCCACCTGGATTCCCTCATGTGTCTGCTTCATGTAAGCTTCCTTCGATGGCGGGCAAGCCCTTGAACACAAAAATGCATAAGCCTATGCATGCTGCAATGGTAAAAATGTGCCCGGCGGTGAGGTTTGGCGGGCCAGAGCAGGCCGCGCACTCCGAAGCTCATCAAGCAGCACAGGGGAGCAGGTGCAAGTGCGCTTGTCAACATGCACTCCACAGTTTATGCCCGCTCAGTGGCGATCACTTCAAGGATTTCGCACGACTGATATAGAGGTGTAGACCAGGTCTGGGCGTACGATAACCAAGTGCCACGTGGAAGCGGCGCTCACTGAGATCAGTGTTGAGAGTTGTGGCTGAAGAGGGTATCCTTAGAGGATGGTCACACGGTGATTCAATTGGGGCCAATCACGACAGAAATTGGACGGTGATAGGATTCGCACTGCAATCATATCCCTTTTGTGGACACACGGGACTGGGGGATGATTGGTCAGCGTTGGGCTTTGCAGACACAACAGCCTCGTGAATAGTGTTCCATGAAATAATTCGCTATTATGCTTCGCGACTCAAACACCATCCCAAGCTTTCGGCCCTGTTGCGGATACGCGTTCAGCCCCATGCCGCAGCTCTCTAAGTCAGTCTGGCTACGCAAATGTTTCTATATATAGAAATAAGTATTATATGACCGAGGTTCGTCCAACAGGACGATCAGCTTAGCGATGGTCCAAGCCACTGCTGATTTGCTACCTCCGGGTTCGGTCTTCGGGGCCATCTTAGAGCGGTCAATTTCTTCAATAGAATAGTAAAGAAAAATCTGGGAGCAGCCACCGGGCAAATGAACGTGGTTGCCCCGCGAATCTGCTCTATTGGGGTGGGGGAGCAGCATTCCCTGGATCGAGCAGGGTGGCTGATGCAGTGGCACAGAATGCCCGACCGTGCCTTGCAATGGATTAACTTCCTATGTATTTCGTGCTTTATGGCAGAGATTAATGCTGCAGCGGGCTGCACGCTAAAATCGCCACGAATCGCCTCGCGTGATTGGGACGGCAATCGTGATTGGCCCCAATCGTATCACCGTGTGACCGACCTCTTACCTGCACGCACCAAATTGCTAATTCGCGTACTCAACAACCATTACCAAACCCCCCGAGTTCTGGTCAACATCGTTGCCTGGATCTGAGTTCAAACGACGACGCAATGGACGGGCCGTAGATGATATCGAACGCAGCATGTTGACAACAAGACAAAATCAGGGTGTAACTCCGTGGCGATATCCGACCGTGGGGCGACGATGCATCGCGCTGTTGCTGCTGCTGCCGCTGCTTGCCCTGCTGTCGGTGCCACACCAATGCTCGGCTGCGCACAGTGCGCGCCGTGCCGTGGAGGATGGAATGGAGCTGCGGCTCCTCAGCCCACAGCCGTGCCATGACGATTGGGACTGCTGGGCAGGACAATACTGCCGGGGTGCTGCTGCAACATGCCCGGGCGCGTGCTCGCCCTGCTGGCAATGCTGCCTGTTTCCTGGCCTAGTCGGCGGCTGCCCTGAAAGGTGATGAGTATTCCTGATGACGCTCATGGAATCAGCGTGCAGCAATATGGGTGCACGCATACGCGCATGCCATGCTGCCCCGCGCCTCGCGCCGCAGGCACGGTTTGAGCGCAGCCGCTGGCATGGCAGTAATGTGCTTGCTTCCCATGCCGACCCACAACCTTGACAACTCGCACGCGCCCGTTCTTGCCCCGCCGATGCTGCGCCGTGCAGCTGCAATTGCCGGCCCGGTTCTCCATGCTCCAGCGGAGATGATTGCGGGCCAGGGTTGTACTGCGCGCTCGGGGAGGACCCCAACCAGGCCCCTGCGTGCCGCCGCTGCGATAACTGCGACGCTGCGGGCGCGGCGCCGATAGACGGCGGCGCGTGCGGGCCGCCCAGCTGCCCCGCCAACGCGTCAGCGGCGGGCATGGCCCCGGGCGTGCGGCGCCACAGGGCGGCCCAGGCGCTGTTTCTCGCATTCGAAGCAGATGACCTGTTCGGCGGCAGCGACAGCGCTGCCGGCGCGGACGGCGCCACAGGCTGGCCGCGGGCCGAGTTTGGCGCGTGGCTGCGGGGCGCCGTGGACGGCGGCTCGGGCGGCGCAGGCTCCGACGGGGCCGCCGCCGGCGCGGGGGCGCGGCTGGCGGATGCGCAGGTGGACGCCGCGTTTGCTGACTTTGATCAAGACAGCGACGGCACGGTCTCGCAGCAGGTGGGTGCCGCGTGGATGGGGCCGTCGCCGCGCGGACGCGGCTGCTGGCCTGCGGCTGCTGCGTGCAAGCGCCGCAAAGAGGGCCGCTGGCAAGAGGGGTGAAGGGGAGGGAGCTTGACAGGCAGCCGGGCGTGCGTCGACGCCGTCACCCCGCGCCATTACCCAATTATGGCGACCCCGATGGCGGCTTCTGATTGGCAGGAATGGCTGGAGGCTTCCCTGATGTCACCCTTGGATCAGATCATGTGCAGCCCCGGCGGCGACCTCTCCGCGGCCGGCGGCACCACTTGGCTTGGGTGCCCCTGCAGCCTGGGGGTGCCGGCTGCCGTCAGCTGCCCTGCAGGTTCCGCCTGCTCCCTCCAGGCGCCGTTGTGGGGCGCCGCGCTCGGCCCCTCGGGGCTGGCCGGCGCCGAGACGGGCGCCGGCGGCGCGGGCGCGGGGCGGTGCGTGGCGTGTGCGCTGGGGCAGCACTGCCCCGAGGGGTCTGTGATGAGGGTGAGCGGGCGGGTGGGATCAACGGGCTCCTGCACTGCATCGGGCTGGGCAGCAGTGACACCACATCGAGCCAGGCATCTTCTGGCTTGAGAGATGGGGCCCGGAGGCCACCACAGACACAGTTCTGCTCTCCCTCATGACCGCCGCGCGGATCCCGTCCCTGGCCGTGCGCAGGACGCGGACCCGGTGACCGCGCTGGAGTGCCCGGCCGGCGCCTTCTGCCCCTCGCCCGCCGAGGCCCGGCCGTGCCCGAACGGAAGCTTCTGCGGCGCAGGGGCCGCGGGCCCGAGCACCTGCGACATTACGGGGCTTTTGAACATGCGCAGCGGCGGCGGCAGCAGCGGCGGCAGCAGCGGCGGCGGCGCGACGGACAGCGGATTTCAGATCACCGAGCGGCGGAGCGTGCTCGACATCGTTGCGGCGGGCGGGCAGGAGGTGGCCGGCAACTACTGTCCTGCAAACGCAACCAGCCCGCTCGAGCCATGCATGTAAGAGGGCTGACCCGCGGCGTGAGGGCTTCCAAGGTTCCAATCTGAGCAGTTCTGAAGAAGCACGTTGGTGGCATCCTGGCCTGCGAGACAGGGTACCGCCGCAGCCGCCGTAACCCCCGCAACCACCATGATCGTATGCCTGGCAGGGAGGGGCACTACTGCCCCGATCCGTCGATGCAGCTGCCGTGCCCGCCAGGCCATTACTGCCCGCCAGGCAGCACTGCGCCGCGCCGCTGCAAGCCGCTCTCGCCCTGCCCGGCTGCCACTGTCAAGCCGCGCTTCAGCTGGCTAGCGGCCATGCTGTCTGGCCTCATCGCCAGCGGCGGGGTCGCGCTGTGGCAGGCGCTCCTGTGGCTCGAGGGGCGCCGCTGGGGCGCCGCCGGCAGTGGGGGCGCCGGCACGGCGTCGTTCGGCGTGGGCAGCGGCAGCGGCAACGTGGTGAATGAGATCAGGGGGTGGCTTGGTGAGCGGCCTGTTCGGTTGCTGCGCAGCGCTGTTCATGCTCTTGGGGCGTTCATTCAAGCGAAGCAGTGTTCCCTGCCACTCTGCCTGTATTACACACGCACCCACATATGACCGACGCCCTCGCCTCCTCTACCCGCAGACGCCTGCCACCGAATGCGGCAGCAGTCAAACGAATTTGATTTTGGCGCCGTCGGCCACAAATGCTCATCGCACCGCACGACAGCGGACGAGGCTGCCGGAGCCGGCGTCGAGGGGCTCCTGTCCCGCGACGACAGCGATGCGTACTGCCGCCTGACGCTCTCCCACTCTGCAATTTCACGCGTACCCAGTCACCATCTGCCCGTCGGCCTGCTGGGCATTGGCGCCGGCTTGTTTGGCGGGATAGCAGGCCGCGCCGTGGCGCAGCAGCAGCAGCAGCAGCAGCAGCAGCAGCAGCACCACCACCATCACCACCGCCAGCACCTGCAGCACCCCCATGATGGGGCGGATGCAGCGATACGCATCCTCGGCTGGGGCCCGGTCGGAGAGGCGACAGAGGATGGCAGCGCCAGCGCGCAGCCGCGCTGCCCGGCAGGCGCAGGGCCACAGCAGGCTTCGACGCCCGGCCCAGCCGAGTCGCTCGGCCAGCCGAGCGGGGGCGGGCGGGCGCACGGCCAGCTTGCGGGCGGGGTGGAGGCGCGGGGCCGCGGGCAGCGCCAGTGGCCGCGGTCGCTGCTGTCGCCGCGCTCACTCCAGCGGCAGCAGCAGCAGCAGCAGCATCGCTTGCTTGGCGAGGCGCAGGCGCAGGCGCATCACAGCAGCAGGAGCAGCAGTGGTGGCGGCAGCGGCGGCCCGCGCGGAACCACCGCAGGCGCCTGGCGGCCTCACGAGGTGTATGGTGGCGCGGCCGCCCCACACGGCTGTGCTTCAGCAGCAGATCACGGCGTCAGGGGATCAGCACGTTTGGGCTCCCAATCAGAGGTCGCAGTGGCCGCTGTTTGCAGCGGCGGCGAGGCGGCCGCCGACGCGCACCCATGCACCTGTGTGCCCGAGGGGCCCAGCCAGTGCGACGAGGGGCGGCGTGGCGAGGGTGGGGGCGCCGGCGCGGCGCCCGACGAGCTGCGCTGCTCTGTCGGCACACGCCCCGGCGCCGCGCCCGTGCACGCCCGTGCATGGGCGCCAACGGGCGGCGACTGGCTGCTCGCGCGCGAGCAGCTGCTGGCTGCGGGCGCGAGCGGCGCGTCAAGCCCGACTGGCCGCTGTTCATTGGACAAACATCAGCCCCGCCCAGGGGGCGCTGCAGGATCCGCCCTTGAGGCCAGCCCAGAGCCCGCGCCCGGCGGGCCGGGCGCGGCAGCGCGCGGCTCAGGCGAGTGCACGCCTGTGGTCAGGAGCTACCCGAGCCTTACCCTGAAGGGCGCGGCGGCCGCCGCCGCGTCCGGCCGGCTGGGCAGCCTGACGTCTTCGCGCTCTCACGCGTTCCAGGAGGAGCTGCTGCAGGTCCAGCGGTCCGCGCGCAGTGGCACCGAGCGCCAGCGGCAGCGCGAATGGCTGCACGCGCACGGGATCGGGGGCGGCGGCGGCGGCGGCGGCGGCGGCGGCGGCGAAAGCAGCGGCGGCGGGCGCTCGCGCAGCAGCGGCGCGCGCAGCGCGGGCGGCGGCGGGGCGATGTCCTCTCCTAGGTCGCCGCGCCTCTCGGCGATGGCCGTGGCGGCGGCGGCGGGGGCGGCGGC